AGCCGGCTCTTCTCAAGGGGGAGGCCCCTTCTGAGTCATTCTGTTTCCATGTTTCTGTCCCTTGGGATGCTCACAAACATGGTTATTTACTGTTACTGCTGCCAAAGCCCTCGAGTCATTCCTGCGATTACCCCTGTGACTAATCAATGAAACTTCAGAATCTGCACCCAGGTCAGGTAAGCACTTGTACTGTGCAGAGAAGCTCCGTGCCTAAAACACGTTGGTGCCACCGAAGGCTTGGAATGAGCATTAGTGCAGGTAGGGAGGAGAAAAGGGGCCTCTGGTAGTTTCTGAGAGCCCTGCTTTACTCAGGATTCTGTGTAGTGCAAAGGTGTTTCTTTACCTATTCAAGTTCCACACCAGCTGAGAGGCAGAGCAAAGCCATGTGGCAAGAGCTTCTTGGCATCTCTGGATGAGCTGGGATGCAGGCAAGAGCAGCAGCTGCCACCAGGGATCTCCCGCAGTCCAGCAAAGCTGCGATGTTGCTGCTCCTGCTTCTCCTGCTGCTGCCTCACACAGCCTGTGAGAGAGAAGAGTGTCCCTGGAACCTCCTGGGTGATGGAGCACTCCTGTATCACCGGCCAGGAGACTACCTGCTGAGTGGAGTCATTTCTTCCCAGTTTTTCCAGCAGCAGCAGCCGTACACCTTTTTGGAGTCCCCCTTGAGCAGGGTTGAATGGTGAGTCATGTGGTTTCAGTGCTTCTCCAACTGCACTGGAGTAGCCTCCACCATGTGGAGACCACCCATGGTTCTGGTTCCCTAATCGTCCTTAGGAATCCCCTCTCTATCTTTTGACCTTATTTGCTCTTGGTAAAAAAATTGTGAGCTCCATGAACTCAAGGGCAGCATCCAACACCACATGCTTGCTTACGGCTGGCCATCATTTGTCTGCTTTGAAGCTGAATGACAGAGGGCTACTTGCATCAAACCCCATATGAAGACCTAGGCTGGAGCCATGGCAGCTGTTTCTTGGCGTGGCCTCACCTCTGCAGCTGTGGCACAGTTTCTGCCTCCATTTCCAGCATTTCTTGCAGTTATGAGCCTGCAAGACATCTCTGCTTACAGATAGTTGCCCATTATGGAGTAGCAAATGTAGCTGAATGAATTTGGCTCCAGCTTTACCCAAGTAGGAAGAATGAAATGCATAGTGGACAACTTCCTGGAGAAGTTGTGGAGGATGGCTACTCAGACAGAGTACATTGGCATGATATCTGGGTGTTAGTTGAAACCTTTAGCTCTCAGTATGTTGGAGAGGAAGAGGTGGTGTGTTTTTTTTAAACTGCAGTCCGTGTTTGACATAACTGAGTGAGAAAATATCAGCTAAACAAAAGGGCCACAATCTTGTACTAGGAGAAATGCTGCATCCAGGGCTTGAAATGAATGAAAGAACCACCCTGTTTCCTTGGTGAGAAGCAGGTCTCTCTCCTATCACTGATTGCAAAATTAGAGATGAACTATTCAAAACAATCTCCACTTGGATGCTGTGTGTTCATTACAGATGCAAAATAGTTTCTGCAACTGCTTCGAGAATTGTAAGAATCAGAAGTAAATCCAAGGACTTCCACTCTGCTTTTCTTAATGATGTGGTTGTTGTTGATATGTTCTTTTGTATGTCATCAAGCAGCTTCAGATCTATCACCACCAAAGAGTTCCCTCTGTGAAAGCCTTGAACAGCTTTCAATCTCAAGTCCTGGCTTCCTTTTTGGAGTCCATCCATCTCATGCATGGACCTCCTCCTCCTCTTCTGCCTCTGACTTTCCCTAGCAGTATTGTCTTCTCCAGGGAGAATTGCTTTCTCGTGATCTGCCCGTAGTATGACAGCTTCAGTTTAGTCACTTTTCCTTTGAGGGAAAGCTCTGCTTGGGTTTGGATTAGGACAAACTTGTTCATCTTTCTGGCAGTCCGGTGAATTTGCAGCGCTGTTCTCCAGCTTTCAGAATTGTACATGTTGGCCAGGAATAAAATAGTTTGGATTATCCTGGTCTTGCCCTCCAGTGATGAAACCTTGCACTTGATGAAAATAAGTACAGTTGAGATCAAAGAGACTTGGATCTTGCTTTCATTTTACACTATAGCCAGTCAGATGCTACAGAGAAACCCAAAAGTAGCACAGAGACCAATAGCACCCTTCTCCTCTGGTGTTCCCCACACATGATGTATATATTCATAATATCGTGAGGGAGAAGATGGTGAGGAGGAGGGCCTTTTCCATCACAGCACCCTAGAAGTGCAACTCAGTCCCACAGGAGGTTCATTATGTCCTTTTTTATTTTAATTTTTTGATCTTATGTTTAAATAAACTAATTTAATTACTTGCTTGTAATCTTATTAACAGTTCTGCTAATTTTAATGCTTATCATATATATAGATTTTATCGTCTTATTGGCTTTATTGTAAATTGTTGATTTTATTATATTGTTGAATTTATTTGTTGCAAGCTGTCCAGAAAGCTTATGGCTTATAGGCCAGCATATTGAATGAAGGAATGAAGGAATGAATACTTTTTCTGCTGCAATAGGCAACATAGAGTAATCGTGACTGGAAGGCATTGAAACCCTTCTCCGCCCTGCATCTGTCATATTCCATTGATTAATCTGTCTACATCTCTGTCTCCATTTCTGTTTCCATCCCCATCTCATGAATAATGTGATCATCACATTGCATTTATTTCCTGCTGGGGCATTCCTCTCCTTTAGGCTGAGTGCTCTGAGTGGCCAAAATCACCCAGTGAGCGTCATGCCCTAGTGGGGAAGTTCAACAAGAGCCAGTCTGACTTTATAACCTACTCCTCCTCTCTGGCTCTCAGGCATCCGAATGGCAGCCAACACTACCATGCGTGCAAATGAATTCCATAGTTAAACTCTGGACCCGTCAAGTAGTTCTTTTTATCCATTCTGAATATCCCACCAATCAGCTTCACAATTTCTGTAAGTGTGGGAGGCAGAGAGCTTTTCCTTCCTTTCTCCACAAAGGACATTAGTGTGTGCTTCTGGACACTGGAAAAACTGGATAATAATCTTTCAGCTTCTCCAAAATCTTGTCCTCCTTTGTTCAGGAGAATTCGTTCAGTCACACAGCAGTCCAATGGAATCAACACCTGGGTTCTTGGTTGTGATGGACTTAAATGGTTCTTCATTGTTGCCTTGGTATTATTTTAATACCCTTTGTCACAAGTTGATGGCCTTTATATTGTAAACCTATGAGAAATCTAAGTGGGATGACAGGATGACCAACATATTTTTAGGTCATCTATTTCACAGCTTCCTCCTTCTGAGATACTGGAAAATCTTGGCCTTCCTGTTTGCCATTCAGGAGGTCAACCAGAATCCCAGAATATTGCCCAACATCACCCTGGGATACAGCATCTACGAGAGCCATTTCGATGCCAGAACGACTTCCTATGCCATGCTGGGCCTGCCTGCTGATGGGAGAAGACACCTTCCCAACTACAGCTGTGGGCGAAAGAGGAAGCCACTGGTCATTCTGGAAGGGAGTGAACCTCATCTCTCCATCCTTATTTCGGCCATGTCAGGCATCTACAAGATCCCACAGGTAGGAATTGGCAGGAGAAGCCAGCTCACTCTAAATCTTGCTCAGCACGGCTTCACTACCAATCCTTTTCCAAAGAAGCTTCACCCACTGAGGACAATGGTCATCTGCATCATGTGCTCCAGGTGATTCATTGTGTTTCAAAATGGGATGTAGTAATATGAAGGGAAAATATTCTTTCATAAAATGAGTGAAATACAAAGCTTTGAGATAGTTCGGTTGTCTGCCTCCCTGTACTGCCCTCATGTTTAGACAGTGTTAGACATTTCAGAACAATATATATTGGATCTTTTTCTGGAAAAAAGAACAGCACAAAAGAAGAATGCAAAATAGCACTCTCTATATCTCTTTCCTAGATCAGTTATGGATCCATTGATCCTGTTCTTGAAGATAAAACTCAGTTTCCTTTTGTCTATCGAATGGCCCCAAAGGAAGATACCCAGTACTCGGGCATCATCCAGCTACTCCTCTTATTTGGGTGGACTTGGATTGGTCTCTTTGCCCCAGACACTGACAATGGGGAGAGGTTCCTGAATGCCCTGACTCCTTTGATGATCAGTCATGCAATCTGTATTGCCTTCACAAAAAGGCTTCCACAAAAAAGCATACACAGAATGTCTCAGCATGAAGTATCCATTGTGTGGGGACAAGCGAAAGCAGCTGTTTTCTATCCAGACTCTTACTACGGCTGTTTTGTAATACGCAACATACTGGAAAAGGAACGCTTCGGGATGAACGTCTGGATCACAACAACCTTTCAGGATATAAATGGAAATTTGTCTCTGGATCCTGATGACTTCCTGCTATTTCATGGTTCTTTGTCCTTCATCATTAAACCCACTAGAAGCATGAAACGTGAATACTACCTTCCACGATCAACTGATACCTTTTTCTATTGGGATGATGCCTTTTCTTGCTCCTATTTTGAGCATGCTTTCTCCATGAGAACTTGGACTATGTGCACAGAGATAGAGGAACTGGAGAGGCTGTCCCAGGAGGAAGTTGAAAGAGCCATGTCACAAGACAGCTTCAGTATATACAATGGTGTCCAAGTTGTAGCCCATGCCTTACATGCTGCATCTTCATCCCGAACCAAGTGGACATTGATAGTGGGTGGAGGAGACAGGTTGGAACTTCAAAGGCTGCAGCCATGGCAGGTACTTTCTTTTCTTGTTTTCAGCATCACTGGTAATGGAGAAAGATTTAGAGCTGGGCTCACACAACATGGCAAACAACTATGTACAGGCAGAGAGCAGGAGTGGGCAGATGAAAAAAGATGGTGTCTCTACACTAGAAGGAGCAGTATCACCACAAGTGTTTAAGAAAGCCCTTGTAGACCTCCTGGATTTGAGAGCTACCACCTAGTTGATTAAACTTCCTTGATGGCTCAGGTTCTTGAGGAGGTGCTAGCAGATCAGTTGCAGGAAGGTTTGGGAGATACCAGTTGTCTGGACCAATTTCATCTGATTTCTGCATCGGAACTGGTCACAATGTATGACCTTCAGAGAGTAAGAGAAAGGGGGGCTTGAGCATGCTATTTCTTCTTGCTTTATCACTACACTTTGGTGCTTCAAGCCTTATGGTCCCCTGGACAGAGTATTTATTTATTTACTCAGCCATTCAAATGATCATTTCTGCTCTGCTTGTAGTCGAAGCTCCTTGGGCTGCATACAACAAAGCATAAGAAGAAGAGAATACAACAGAAACAAGCATTAACTGAATTTGAATTTTTTAAAAAATTAAATAGTCTAAAAGAACATTAGAAGACAATAAAAAGCTACAAAAAGATCCAGCCAAGTCAAAGAATGTACTTAAGGATGGAGAGATTATTATCAATTTAACTAATTGTTGAAGAAAATATAGTTTTTATAAATGTTAGTACATGCTACTTTGAAGTTAACTGAATAGACTGGACAACTTTTGTCTGACTGAGAATTGAATTGCTTTGATGGGATTATGGCTAATGAGATTCTCTCTACTTTATGGATGTGTTTAAATGTTGATATCACACAGTATATTTGTGGATTGACCCTTGGCACCTACATTTCCAATATCCCCCTTCCTTTCTTATTGTTTCTTGTGTAAATAAATTTTTAAAAGTTTGGCAGGGAGTCCCAACCAAGATTAAAAGTAGGGCACATTACTAAGTGTGTCAGGCCCCTGGCTGGCCAGGGAAGTCTTTAGAGGCCCCCACAGAGAGGGCTGTCTTAACCTGGCATTGAAGATAAGGCACATTTGGTCCCAGGAAATGATTCCATTTTGGGGATGTTAGAGGTTCTGTGCTCCAGGATCTCATCAACAACCTGCAGGGTTGGCTTCAGCAAGTAACAGTGGTTGATCTTCACTTGTCCTCATAGTTCCTGAGCTGTGCAGTTCCACTGGTTGCTTAAAGACTCCATGATGTTTTTGGGGACCTCATTAGTGGTCTGGAGCCAAGGGTCATGAGAATGCCAATGCCATGCAGCTCTGTGTCCTTCTCACATCTGCATCATGGATGTCACTTGGTGCATAAAAATTGGCCATGGAAGTCCATGATCAGGACTTGGACTCCATGATATCTGCTCTGCATGTGATTCTTGCTAAGGGAGAGGTCTTGTCGGCAAGTGGTTCCCATACTCATGGGATCACTCTGCATTTCCTCCAAAACCTATTTTAACTCTAAAGCCTTACATGACTGTACTGCAGGACCTGTTCTCACAGTCCTGGCAGATGGGAAGTGATTTGTCCCAGTTCACAGCTGATTGAGACTCAGAGTTAGAGTGGGAAGAATATGGAATGATCCTTCCATCCTTTTCATGCTCCTTGTCATGGACTTCCAGTTTGTGTCGCATTTAGACGGCTGTGGAGAACGGGGCTCCATGCTCCATTTTGTAATCTGTTCTACCGGGGGCCCAAGAGGGCCCATCCAAGCCCTGTCAGGGCAGGGGTTATAAGCCCGAGCATACTTCTGCCTGGTGGGGGGTGGCAGCTTTTCACCTGATGGGAGAAATTCGGGAGAATTCTCAATGAACAGGCAGAGAAGGGTTAATTCCCTTCACAAGCTGTAAACAGCCAGATTAATACCGAAGAAAACAAAAAGAAGCTTAAGAGTGGACATGGGACCTGCTCCGTGAGCAACTAAACCTTTTAAAATACTACCAGTGAAAGAACCTGTGAGATAACTATCAAATAGAATAACAAAAGAAAGGCCTTCTGGCTGTGGAGTTCAAAAAGCAGCAAATCGAGGGGGCATTAAGTGAAACTGGGGTAATTTGGGACTTGGAAGAGGTTTTTTTTTTTTTTAATGTTTAATCTCCCCAAGGGTGAAGAATTAAATTTGAATTTATTTTATATTAACTGGTAGAAGAAACTCTCTTATTTTTCTGATCTTCATTTTGGAGACATGGCAGATTTAGTTTCAGTTTGGTTGAACAAGTAACTTGTTGGCTGCCATCCTGTGGTCATTTTATTCCTTAACAGATACATTGTTTGCCAAAAAAAGAAAAACAAAAAATCCCATATTTTTCTCTTTCTGTGATTTTTTTGTTGCTATGTTAATTAAACCTTTTACTTTCATCATGGATTCATCTTTGGCATCTACATCTGCTACTCAAAGCTTACAAACAACACTTTTGGCAATACAAGCATCTTTAACATCTATTCAAGCATCTCAAGTGTCTATGCAAAATGCTATACATGAATGTGCTCTGGAACAAAACGATGAATTGGGCAAATTGGATAGCTTTGTCTCAAAGATAATGAATCAACTTACAGGTTCTGGTATTAAAATAAAACAAAATTAACAAAAATACAAATTATTAAAAAGAAGGTGGAAGTTTTTGAAGAGAAAAGTGAAAAGTTGGCTCAGGAGAAACAATTAACACAAGTTATTATGGGATTCAGTTGCCATATTGGATAGATTTCAGAACACACTTGAAGCAAGAAATGAAAACCTGAGTGGTTTAATAAACACTATGCTAATAGATGGTCCTGTTTTGGAAAAGGAAAAGGCTGTTAAACAATCAGACCTGGTCTATAGAGTTAACCTATGCTATGTTAGAAGTCATAAATTTCTGTGGGAGAATGGATAATTTTAAGGGAATTATATATCTTGAAGGATATGATTAATAAATGGGATGGCATGTTTATAGGTGATAAGGGTAATGACATTTCTTGGTGGCATAAAGTTCAAATATGATTGAGATATGTGAAGTCTATAGAATATATGATCTTATAAAGGAATTAGCAACATTGATTAAATGATTTTAAAACTGGATGAAAGAATGATTAAAGGATTGTATAACTTTTTTGGGTATAAAATGAAATATGAATGAATTAAGGAAATTATAATAGTACAGGCACAAAATGTTGGACATAACATTGAGTTACAGGAATGGTATAAGTTGTGAGAAAGAAATATCAAGGTAACCTTTGTATCCTCACATAAAGAAAACTTATACAAATGTTTTATAGTTAGATAGATAGAGAGAAATAAATGTCTTATAGATAGTTCTTATTGTTAAGTTTAGTAGAAATGCTTTCAAAATGGTTAATTAGACATTGGAAATGTAGACACAAATTTAAATCTGAAGGCTTTTCTCTCTCTTTTTTTGTTTTGATTAGATACTATTTTTAATGATATTGATAAATAGACCATATATTTGATCATATATGTAATTACTATGGCAAGGGTTTTATTTGCTCACTACGGGAGGAGTGAAGAGCCATGCATTGAAGAGTTGAGCCCAAAAAGGATTTTGGAATACATGGCAGGGCAGATCGACTTTGTCTTGGAAGGAGAAGGAGGACATATATCGCTACCAAACCTGGAATTCATTCTATTATCAGCTAGAGAAACAGGACTACATGTAGATTTGAATATGGCTATTGACTGTTGAAATGAGGAAGATTTTAACCCAGTATATCCGATGTCTTAAATAATCGTTGTTTTTAAAGTTAGATTATAGTGAAAACAATAAAATTTATTTTAGAAAAAATTGACCATGGAAGTCCATAATCAGGGCTTGGGCTCCATGATGTCTGCTCTGTATGTGATCCTTGCTAAGGGAGAGGTCCTGAGGGCAAGTAGTTCCCATACTCATGAGATCACTCTGCATTTCCTCCCAAACCTATTTTAACTCTAAAGCCTTACATGACTTTGCACTGCAGGACCTGTTCTCACAGGAGGTTCTCACAGCCTTGGCAGAGGGGATGTGATTTATCCCAGCTCACAGCTGATTAAGACTCAGAGTTAGGGTGGGAAGAATATGGAATGATCCTTCCATCCTTTTCATGCTCCTTTTCTTAGGGCAAAGCTCAGGCCACCAGGTGTAAGTTTGAATGTCAGAAAGTACTTCCTGATGGTTAGTACCCCTAAGATATGGAATGGGATCCCATGGAAGGTAATGGGCACCCCATCAGTGAGGGTGTTCAAGGAAATATTGGACAACCACATGTTGTGTACTCCATGGGAGGAGTTGGCAGGAACCAGGGATCAGACAAGATGGCTGAGGAGGCCCCTTCCGACTTGCTTTCTAAGCTTCTATTCTCCTCCATCTTTCTAGTTTCATATGTTCCTAAGAAAAACCCAATTCTCCAATATTACAGTGGAAGGGCTCTATTTTGATGAAATCGGGGAGCTCAAAACTGGCTTTGACATTGTGAATTGGGTGCTGTTTCCCAATAGAACATGTGGCCGAGTTACAGTTGGGAGTGTGAAGAGGGAGGCCTCGCCTGATGCAACACTCACCCTCAGGAAAGAAGCCATAGTGTGGCCCTGGCATTTTAACAAGGTGGGACAATTAACTTGTGTGATGTCTGTTAAGATGTACGAATTCATGGCATAATATGTGGAAGGCATTTTGGGGATTCAGTGCACACTTGCCTGTGAAAGGAAGTTCTGCTGAGCAGAAAGGGCCTTGTTCTTGTGAGAATGCATGCAGGATTGTCTTGCCAAGGGAACCTTCTAGCAGTGCAGGTCAGGGATTCAAATCAGTTGACAAAAATGCTCCTAGTATTTTTTTCGTGATAGTCCTTCTCTTTGTTGCCAGACCATACCTCGTTCTAGATGTGTGGAGAGCTGTCATCCTGGCTTTGTCAAGGAGGTCCAGGAAGGGAAGCCACCCTGCTGCTATGCTTGCACTCCATGTGCAGTGGGGACCATCTCCACTGAGGAAGGTGGGTGACCTCAGAGGAAAGGGGGCTCCCTTGAAAATTAGGCAAATGCTAAGTCTTCCCAAACTCTACCTTAGGGGTCTTTTTGGTTGTGGCACCCTTCTCATGCAATGCCGTACCCAGAAAGGCATAATTGCTGCCAAAATTGGAATCTTTCCAGTGTCACCTGAAAGTGTCTTCATCTTCCTAGCCATTGCATTCTTTCCTAGCCATTAGAAAAGTCTTCCCTGTATGGTAATTGGGAGGTATTGCTCTCCTCCTACTCTTTGTTATGTTCTTACTGCTCAAGAATCTACTTCAGGGTAAAGTGGCTTACAGATATTAAATTAAAAATCAGTGTGAATACTTTTTGAATCTCAGTTCATCCAGCCCCCCATTCCATTCTGCCCCAGCAGTTCTAATCTGCAAGCTGTCCTTCCTTCCCATCCTTTTGTGCAATGGAGTCCACCATGAGTATGATGGAGCTTTAACAGAATTCACATTAGTACCCCAAACTGGGCAGGAATGCTCCTTGCTAGTTCAGATGGTTAAAGGAGTTCCTCCATTGGAACTCTGTGGCCCTACCCCATGCCAGAAACAAGTGCTTCCCCCACTTCCAAGTGGGGCCCATTTGCTAAACAGATTCTGGAGTGGCAGAGTGGGTGGGGTGCTGGCTACTGCCCTGAGGACCCTCTTGACTCCAGTCTTGAAAACCCCCATGATTCCCTCTTTGAAGTGAGTTGGAAACATGACATGGGGAGCAAATCCTGGATCCAGAAGCATCTTCAGCACACACGTACCCCGCCAGGAATCACAATCAGAATTGAAGCAGGCCCATCTTTAGAAATCCTGGCCCGTCTACATTACATACAGCACCTGTACACTATTTTCCTGGTTCAAATGACACCTCACAAGCTCTGGTTCATTGTTTGTTCTTGCCTGGGAAAGGCCTTCCCAGAGGACATTTATTAAATGTTTATCCCACCTTTTTTTCTCACAATGAACTCAAAATCGCTTATAGAATTCTCCTCTTCCTGCTCTCAGTCTTAACCCCACAACAACAACCATGTGGGGCAGGTTATGCTGAGATTCTATGAATGGCCCAAATTGCCCAGTAGGCTCCATGGATGAGTGGGGACTGGAATCCAGATTGCCTGAGCCCAGTCCTGCCTTCCTGACCACTGCATCACACTGGGCCCCAGAGAATAGGCAGAGAGCTGTTGGAAATATGCTGTGATCTTGCAGCAGACGGACAGAGCTTCTTTGGAAGAAAAGGGGCAAAAATTTTGATCAAAATATTCCATCAGTGGGAAAAAATGGTGGGATGGTGCAGGATTGCTGCTTTGGCTCCTCAAGGTAATACACATGCTTTGGACCTCACAATATTGAGAAAAAGCCTTTAGCTACCAGGGAGCCCAAGACATCCCACTGGGCTCCTTTGAAGATAAAAGGTGCCAGATTGAAACCTTTTTATTTCATGGCTATTTTAAAAATCAATTTTATCATTAACAATCGCTTTTCTGTTTTTTGTTTTGGTTTTTATATAATTTTACTTATACTGTTTTATTGTTTTAATGCTATGTTGTAATACTTCCTGAGATGCTAAGGCATGAGGGGATGGCATATAAAAGTTTTAAATAACTAACTAACTAACTAACTAACTAACTAAATAAATAAATAAATAAATACAAGCAGGAGAACCAGACAGATATTATGAAAAGCAGTCTGCCGCTGAACACCTTTGCTACTCCTTCGTTGAGTATGATCAGTCCATCAACTTCACAAGTGACTCTATGGCTCCCACAGACTCCAGAGTGCCCCACAGAGAACAGGTTTTGTTGAGACCTGCCTTTGAAGAGCAGTCTCTTGTCAACACTTCTCAGCAGTATGCATTGCCTTTCCCAGGGACATTTCTTTTTGCCCTGCCAAACCACATGATTGTTTCCTGACATTTCCCACCTTCCCATCTTCAGTACATATGAAAAGGACTCAGGCTGTTCTGGATGCCCCATTGATGGTGGGAATGCTGAAGTTGCTTTCAATCTTTCCAGATGCAGAGCACTGCAGAAGGTGTCCAGAAGATCAGCACCCAAACCAGGACCGAGACCAATGCATCCCCAAGGAGATCACCTTCCTGTCCTATGTGGAACCTTTGGGAATTGTCCTAGCTTCCTTTGCCCTAATCTCTTCTTTATCCTCACTTGTGGTGTTAGGGATCTACATTGTATACCGAGACACTCCATTGGTCAGGGCCAACAACCGGGACCTCTCCTATGTTCTCCTGGTCTCCCTCCTGTTCTCCTTCTTGTCCTCCTTCCTGTTCATCAGCGAGCCCAGCAAAGTGACTTGCCTGCTGCGACAAACAGCCTTCAGCGTCATCTTCTCAGTGGCTGTTTCTTCGGTGCTGGCCAAAACCATCACTGTGGTGCTGGCCTTCCTGGCCACCAAGCCAGGGAACAGAGTGAAGAGGTGGCTGGGGAGGAGTCTGGCCAGCTCTATTGTCATTTCTTGTTCCAGTGTGCAGATTGTCATCTGCTGCATTTGGATGGGCATGGCTCCCCCTTTCCCTGACTCAGACATGCATTCACTGCCTGGAGAGATCATTCTGCAATGCAATGAGGGCTCTGTGGCCATGTTCTATGCTGCCCTCAGCTACATGGGTTTCCTGGCTGCCATCTGCTTCACGGTGGCTTTCCTTGCCAGGAAGCTGCCTGGGGCCTTCAATGAAGCCAAGCTGATCACCTTCAGCATGCTGGTCTTCTGCAGTGTCTGGGTCTCCTTCCTTCCCACCTATCTGAGCATGAAGGGGAAATATACAGTGGCTGTGCAGGTCTTCTCCATCCTGGCCTCTAGTTCTGTGTTGCTGGGTTGCATCTTTCTTCCCAAATGTTACATTACTGTCCTGAGGCCTGAACTGAATACGAAGGAACAGCTCATGATCAAAAGGACAGATAGCATCTGATTAATGTGATCAGTGTTTAGCCTGGGAGTGAGTCTCTAGATGCCTTCTAACAGGATGGTCTTTTCAGTAGTGGTCCTGTGGTGGTGGAATTCACCCCATTGAGGTCCTCACCAACTTGTGACCTTTTTTCTGGCATGTGAAGATTTCGGTATTCTAAGCATATAAAGTTGTTCAGCCTGTCTTGTTTTCAATGTTGCCTTGTAGTTTCAGATTTCTGCAGTGATCCTGTTTTTCAATCTGGCTTTTAGTTGGAGTGTCAAGGTTTTGAGTTTTGCATTTTTCATCTTGCTGTATTTTTGTGGCTTTAACTGTTGTGAACCACCCAGAGATTTTTGGCAATTAGATTGCTATAATAAAAGAATACAGGAAATAATCCAGACAACGATTTCACATCTTTATTTTTAGCAGACTTCTGGGCACCAATTGTACCTTCTCATATTATTGGTCTTCTTGTTATTGCATTTGTTTCTCACCATTCTTCCTCTTTGCGTTGTAGCCACACTAGCTCACGAGATTGTCGACCCCTGCATTCCCTTCTCACAACTATTGTAACTATTGTAAGTGAAAAGTGAACTATTTGACCCAGTCGCTTCATTCTTTCTGCCACTACTAGTACTAGCCCTCTGCTCCTCCCCAGTAGCATATTGGACACCTTCCAACCTGAGGGGCTCATTTTCCAGCATCATATCTTTTTGCCTTTTGGTACTGTCCATGCGGTTTCATGGCAAGGGTGCTGGAGTGGGTTGCAATTTCCTTCTCCAGTGGATCACGTTTTGTCAGAGCTCTCTGCTATGACCTGTCCATCTTGGGTGGCCCTGCACCACATAGCTCATTGAGCTACTCAAGCCACCACAACAAGGTAGTGATCCATGAAGGAGATCTTAAAACCTATTAAACCTTAAAATAATAGGAAAAGAAAAAGGGTTTTATTTGGTGCTGGAAGGAATATTGTGTCCTTATGTTCTTCTTTGGGATATAAAAAAACCTGCAAAGGGAAATCCTCAGCAGTGTGAGCTGCTGGAATGCCCACATGGTGGCACTTTAGAAATGCAAGCAAAGCATCAGCACTTTGGCTGAACTTGGAGGAATAGATTTTTCAGACGTGGCCAATTCTCTCTTAACTCTCACAGGAATCTTTATTCTGGGAAACATGGGAATGGTCCAATGAGAATTCCTTCCATAAGCCTAGTACTTTGGAAAAGGACATAATCCCTAGTCACTGAAAAGTGGAAAGGAAGAGCCACCTCGGGATGCTCCAGTTTTGTCTTCTCTGGTCTAGTTCTGGAACTTGCTAGACTGGCATGGGGTTGGGAGAGGTCTTGAGTCCCTGCTTAGAAGGACCACACTTTCCCCAAATAAATATTGAATTACTAGTGCAGAGATGCTCCTTGAGGTGTTTTGTCACTCTATTTTTCCTCAACCTCCACTTCCCTTTTGATGGGCCTTGCTTAGAGATTTCATGTTCACAGTCTTCTGATATTCCTCTGACAGACAAAAGAGTGCAAACTACCAGGCTCGTCCTCTCTTCATTAGGTCAGTTATGGCTTGGTTTATCCCATTCTAGAGGATCACACTCAGTTCCCATTTGTCTACTGGATGGCCCCAAAGGAAGAGAGCATGTACTTGGACATTGTCCAACTGGCTTTGAGTTTTCATTGGACATGGATTGGACTCTTTGCTCCAGACAATGAGAGTGGAGAAAAGTTTGTGAGGTCAGTGATCCCTCTTATGATCAGTTATGGAATCTGCATTGCCTTCACAAAACAGCTACCACAAAAAAATGTACTTAGAGTGCCTCACAACAAGCTCTTATTTGCATGGGGAGCAGTGAATGTAGCTGTTTTCTATGCAGACTCTCTCTACGGCTGTGCTCCAATTTAGATGATGCATGAGATACTTGGGAGTGAACAAATTGGAGGAAAGGTCTGGATCGCCACCACTGTGCAGGACTTTACCATGGACTTAATGACTGATCCTGTTTCCTTTCAGGCTCTCCATGGGTCTTTGTCATTCATCATGAAGACCTCCCAAAAGACAAGACTGGACCATTACATTCCAGTCTCTCATGCTACAGATCAGTTTTGGCAGAATCCTTTCCATTGTTTCTACTCAGAGCATGCTTTTTCCTTGAAAAGTTGGTCAAACTACAGACAGAATGAGAACCTTGAAATGCTCTCCCAGGAGGAGCTGGAAAGAGGTTTTTCTCAAGACAGTTTCACTAATTACAACATTGTCCAAATGGTAGCTGGTGCCTTAAATGCTGCAACTTCATCCCAATCAAAGCATATATTGATGACTGGAAGAGGAGAAAGCCTGCACAGCCAGAAGCTGAGACCCTGGCAGGTATTCCCTTTCCTCCTATGGTATCACAGCAACTGGCAAAATATTCAGAGTTGAGTTGAGCTGTCATGCATGACAGGGCATCTTCTTGTCAGTGGCATGTCAATTCAGAAGTGGTTATTGATCCTACTGCTCTGCCTTTTCTAAACCCACAAAGTGCTACCTGACCTGGGCTTGTATTAAGAAATATCCTGGCAGCATTTGCATTTTCCTCTGAACACCTCAGAATGCTGTTTCCTGACATTTCTTGCAGCATCCTTTTGCTTTCTTTGTTGATGTAGATACAGGCTATTCAGAAGTCTGTCACCTCTGCAGGCCCCATCCATTCCAGTGATTTCCACCTGATGAGCTGGCAAAGGTCTTGCAGTGAGGCTCCTGATCTGTGTCCTCCTGACAAGACCCCCTAGTGCCGCTTACCAAAAGGACATGAGTGTGAAAAACATGTTCTTACACAAAACATTGGTACTACACAGGGTACTACCATTTTTTTTTTTTTGAGAAAACTTTTCTATATTGAATTCAGTAACTGCCACCTCATTGCCTGTAAATCTTTTTTGCCTCAGGTTCTTGAGAAGGTGCTTTCAGGCCATTTGGAGGCAATGTGATAGATGCCCATGGCCCTCTGATGGATGACCCTCCTGGAGAAAGTGTGTGGGCTCAACCTATTTCTTTCTTCCTGCTCTATCATTCTACTTTAATATGCTCCACCCTAGGATCATGGTGGGCTAGCTCCAGTTTTGGGATGTGGTGTGTACTGCATTTCAGTGCTTCTGCTCCAACTTCCACTCCTGCTTTTAGAAAGAATGTAACGAGATTACAGTGCAATAGTTGAACACTCAGCCATTCAGTCCCTCAAAGCATGTTCTTATTCACAAACCGTCTTTTGAATCAGTAGCTTATATGTTGCCAATATCAGGATGGGTCCTGAAGCAAAAGATCGGCAGCATGCTGATGAGGTGTGTCTCTATGTCCCTGAAACCTCTTCTCCTATATTGTGGCCATGACAGTCCATGTCCAGTGCCTAGACTCACTAATGCCCTGGATGAGGGTCAGTAGAGTATATTTGGATGCTGGGAATATGAAGCCTGTGGTGGAAAATGGTGCAGGAGGGGAGCTTGGGTTGCTAATACAGCCCAAGAGGAGGATTAAATGAGGAGACTTGGAACAAAGCAGGCAAGGACTGATTGCCTATGGTAGGTGATGTTAAATTCTCTCTGAAGGAGCAGTCTTTGGGCCATTGCATACACAGAACTCCAAGGTGAACTGGATGTTTTAGTCACCATGGCAACTTTAATCCCTTTGCACCTGTTTGTCTTGCATTTCATCTGTGAGTAATCGTGGAAGGGAGAGTTTGGCTGCACTAGTGCAAACTGACATTGATCAACTCTTCCCTGGAATATTGTAATGTGCCCTGTGGGAAACTAACCCTGAAAGAAACTGGAAAGCTGCAGCCATGGCAGAATGGCATTTGTCAGGGGCCACTCGACTTCTTCCTGGAATGTCCCTGAGAAAGTTCCTGCACTGGCTGCCCCTCTCCACCTGTGTGAGGGTGAAGGTTGTTGTCGTAATCTAAGCACCTTGGAGCAGGAGACATTAGGACATGCCATCTTTTGACCATCCTTCCAGTCATTGAGCACTTCTAAAGAGACATCCTCATACTTTGAAAACCCCCTTTGCAACCACTAAAAGAAGACTCTTTAATGCCACAAACATTTATAGTCTTTGACACTACCAATGGAGATCTAAATATCTTCCTGCCATGCTGACATTTAACCCTTCCTTCCCCCTGCAGGGAATTTGGTTGGTTGCCCCTTCAGAGACTTCCAACTGGAGCAAAGGCCCATCTTCACAGTAGTTCTGTGTAGACCTGTGAATTTAGGACCTATTCCACATTCCACTAAGTGCCACATTATGTCTAGACAGCACTGGCTATAAGGGAGTTGATTTTGTTATTTCTTCTCCATTTTATTTCTTCTTTGTCTATGTTATGTGCCATCAAGTCATCTCCAGCTTATGTCACCCTGTGAATGAGAGCCCTCCACAATGTGCTGAACACAACAGCTCCGTTCAGCTCTTCCACACTCAAGGCTGTGGTTACCTTCACAAATTCCATCCATCTCATATTTGGACTTTCATTTCATCTTCTGCTTTCAACTCTCTCTAACAAGATTGTCTTTTCCAGGGAGTTCTGCCTTTTCATGAAGTGTCTAAAGAAACAAGGCTTCCATGAAGGCCACCAGCAGGCAAAGGGTGGCAAATCAGCTGGCCTTCCATGGAGTACCGCTATCTTGAGGGAGCTGATGGCTCTGGTAGCAGCACATTGCTGATGGTAACTATCCCCGAAGAAGGGCCTCTAGATGGCTTAATGGTTTTCTCTCATCAGTTACAACAGGCCTGGTCAGGAACAGGAATCTGGAGCTATCTGGAGGAACCAGGTCTCAAGGTTGGGTTTTTGTGAAAGGGAACTTTGCTGCATAATATCATTGGTCCTGCTCTTCTGCAAAATGTTGTCCCTTGAAAGTTAGAGCTCAAAGCATAGATGGGTAAAATACTGAACATGCTTTTAACCCATACAGCCTATTCTAATAAATGTATGTATGAATGAAATTAATATGTTGTCTTCTCTGTCATTCTAGTTCCCCACTGTCTTAAGAGGAATC